GAAGACCTTTTTCTAAATCAGTTTTCAACGCTGATTCAGAAAAAAATAGTTTCAACCTCTCATCTTATAATAAAACTTCAAAAAAGTCACTTCTACGCTAAAGGTCATGTTTTTCGATTTTTTAGACCCTTGCAGTATTTCAGGTTTTTCTCCATGAAAAAAGGACTTTTAAACATTTTAAAGGTGATATTAATGATCAGCTGAACAAGACGAATCAGAATATGTATGACAAACTGAAAAATAAAATCCACTTGAATTTTGCATTAGCTGCACGTTATCTTCGAATTTTCGACATAGAAAAAGTTCTTGAAAAATTAAAAAATACATTTGTTTAATCAGCTCGAGGATCTCTATCCAACGATGTCTAATAAGACAAAAAAGAATTTTTACTGCAAGTTTGTATTACACACATCTTATTCTGCTTGACGCTTTGATAAAAGTTCAATGGGAGAGGAAAGGAAAGTACTATGAGCCTCACTTAGTTTCAAGACGCTCCGCCGCCTACGAAAAATAGTATCAGACCATGTGTAAGACTGGAAGAAGCGCCGTTCGTGAGATCGGAAAAAATATTTCAGGCTCACATTATTATGTACCAAAATGGCCTGTGTTCTTAACAAACTGTATTATAGCACTATATATTAAGTTAACTTTTTCAAATTCTAATTAGCGTCTCTGACATCAGCGAAAAGGAAATTATTATCTAATGAAACGTTTAACTCCATAATAGATTTGTTCAATGTTTGCTCTAATTTTTTGACATTGTATGCAAAAGATTATTCTGCAAAAAACGTACAAATATGTATGTCACAAAAGTAGAAAAAATACTCGTTTTTGTTGTCGTAGAGCCGTAGAATCTTTAGTAATAACATAGTAAGCGGAACCATTTCTAGTCTAACCATAGGTTTACAAACGTATTTTTTTACAAAAGGATCTGTACGACCAAAAGTTTCTTGAACTAAAATTATGTGAGCAAATTCATAGCACGTCTTAAAGTGACTGAACAAAAATGTCTTCAAAAAAAAATCTTCATTAGAAAATGATATTTATATAGTCTTCTTCTCTGTTCATACCTATATTTCACTTTTTATCAAAAAATATACCCATCCACATAGATTAACATTCTTTTTCCGACAGATATTTTCTTATATAAAGACATGATTTATCTTTATTTCTTCACCGTTTGCAGATAGCTTCACTTCGTTCTCTTCACTTTAAGACTTTGAAAAACAATTGAAAGCGATCAGTCTTTTCTCTTCACTACTTTTTCATTATACAGTTTTTCTTTAAAAATAAATGTTAAAATTTTAAGCAACACTAAAATCACATTAAAGCACTTTTCTAGGCGTTATTAGTTCAGTACTGTAGAAGTCAAAAGTTGAATTCAACTATTCAATTATTCAACTCTTAATTCAAATCTATATTCACTCTCACCATCACTTGTTACGAAACTTAAAAGGGTATATAGAAGTGCAACTATTTCTAAACCCTTTAAGGTTTCGTAGAAGACAAGGTGCAGTACGAAACCGTTTTAGGTGCATTGAAATGATTGATCAGTGATCATTTGTTATTGATTGATCATTTGCTTATTTCGTTATGCTTTTTTTCTACACGATTTTTTCTCGAGAAATCAAAAATTACAGAAGTTTTAGGTATTTTTGGGTTCAGTTTTCGCCGCCCTATACAATGAAAACACGCCTAAGCCGCTGAAATGGTCCACTTGCTCAAAGAAAAAAAACTGTTAGAATTTATGCACTTAAACGGTTTCGTAATAGACCGTTTTTTAGGGGGGCCTCACGGTTTTTTCTATCAGTTTGTAGAGGACACTATGAAGTGTATATTTCAAAAGTTTTTTCGGGTATCGGACCTGTAGTTAGCTGTTGAGGAAATAATTTGTTAAGTTTAGTCTCGATTATTTTCTCCATTTTTAAAATTTTCATAAAATTTTCAGATTTCTACATATAACTCCGGTTTTGATGTCAATCGATAGAGGATATCAGGTTGTATCTAGAAAAAATTCGGTCAAGCTTTCGGCCAAGTTTTGACTGAGTTATTTCGCTTTGACCGACATGATGACACTTTCGAGCAAAAAGTATTTTAAGAAAACACCTTGAACCAAATTTCGCTGGAAGAAAGCATTTCTAAGGAAAAGTATGGGTACGAAAGCTGTTCAGAATCAGATTCCCTGGAATATGAACGAGAGATTTTTCAAAATTCGTTAAACTTGATTTTAAATTAAAAAATACGGTTTTTAAAATTTAGTAAAATATAATTTAAAAGTCCAATTTAACCAATCTTAAAAAATTCCTCGTTCATATTCCAGGGAGTCTGATTCTGAACAACTTTCGCACCCACACGTTTCTTTGGAAATGCTTCCTACGAGCGAAATTTGATTCAAGGTGTTGTAAAAATATTGCTAAGATATGCTAAAAGTTAGAGAACATTTTTAGTTTTGAACTTTTTTGTTAAATTTTCCCAGGTTGTAGAGGACACTTCGACGTATATGTTCTGAAGTCTTTCTGGCTTACTGACTTTGTCCGACTGAGAAAAAAATTAATTACTTAAAAAAATTTTGTTAAATTTTCGAGCACGGGGCTGTTAGAAAAAAGTTCTAATGAATGCATTGAGTTCTAAAACTTTTAAGTTATCCAGGCTTCTAGCCCGTGAAATTCTCTACTAGGTAAGGTATCGCTTAAATTCTATTGTTGAATCCTTATTTTGCAAATGGGATTGTAATCTAGTAGAGTAGGCTAAATTAAGCTTAAATTAATTTAGTTAGTTTAGCCTCATTAATTAGCGTTAATTAGTCAATAACAGGAAGAAAAGAACAAAACTCTTTACATATTGTCTCGCAGTAAATATTCTCCACACATTTCTTTGTCGATCTAGGCAAGAACCAAGTTTTTATGATGAATGGAGAATGGACAGGAATGTTTTTAATAATAGTCCCTTGTTCAAAAACTTACAATATTTTTTTAAGTAATTAATTTTTTTCTCAGCCAAATAATGTCAGTAAGGCCAGAAAACTTCAGGACGTATACTTCGAAGTATCCTCTTCAAAGTGCGAACGTTGGAGGAAAATCTAAATGAGAGATGATCCCCCTTAAGTCGATCATGAGTATTTATTATTGAATATGATGTACGTACGCATTATTTTGTTCAGACTACATTTATTTTACTAATTAAGTGTCAATATGTAAATATGACGAATCGTGCATGTAAAAAATGTCTCCTTATAAGTGTGTAAGTAAAGTGAAAAATTATCTCTTTTCGAAACTGTTCTCGCTTTCTGGTCCCGTTCTCTGAGCAGTTCCTGAGAACGGGTGGAAAGAACTAGTTTCAAGTTCTTTTTAGAAATTTGAGATAAAATAAAACTGTTGAAGTTAGTTACATTAACTTTGTTTAGTTCACTAAACGCACCATCTACCTTTGGCGCACTAAATAAAGCCAAAATTTTTTGGACTTCACCGGTTTTATTTTACTTTGAATTCTTGAAAAGAACTGGTAACCATTTGTTGTTGTTTTGAAAAGAGAGTTCGTCAGTTTTTGTTGTTTGTAGAAACGAGAACGGCTAATCAGTTATCGTTCAAAAGAAATGAACTGGTATCCATTAATTCTCATGATGAAAATGGCAATTCTTATGAACAAATGTTCACATGTATTGTCTAAAAGCGAAAAATGGCAGCTGCAATGCGAAAAATGCACTAGATGTGTTGCTCTTATTTGTTTGAGTAACGTTGGTATATTGTTCGATTAGAAAAACTTTAATTAAAGATTTCAAAATATATTATGTAGCAAAAATCATGTATCACTCACTATAGATGATGGCACCACGATTATCATTCCTGTACCTTTTAGGGTTTAGTAGTTCTTTATTCTTATTAACATCTCTGATCAAAAATACAAACATGAAAGCAATAGGAAATCTTAACTTTGACCCACTGAGACTGAAGTGTACAGCTTTAAGTTAGATACACTACATCATATGACAACTTTTGTATTCTGGATGTTACGAATAGCTAAATGCCAATGAACTACTAGCTTATTACATGATTGTATCTGATAGGGTTCTGCGTTTGTAATATATAGGTACTATACCGCTATTGGCTCAAAACGTAGCGGACACTGGCATCGCTTAGAGTCTCAGAATATGGATAGTTTCGTTATCAAATAATATTCGGGATTAAATGAAAAACAAAAGTATTTAAACAAATTTATGTCTCAATGTCACTTTTAAGATTGATGATCAGTATTGACAACGTTAACACTCGTACTAGACATTTGGTGCTAAGATTTTACGCATAGCCGCATTGTTCATACACCTAATGGAAACAAATAACAAACATTTTATTCTACAAGAATCTTGAATTTTCTTTTCTTTTACCCTTGAATGAACTCATGTCTCAATAATCCTCTATCTTCTTTACCACCTAATTCTTTTATTATTTCATGAGCACGTTGGTCAACATCATCATCACTTATACCCACAAGGTTAGACTAAATTCAAATTGATGTCTAAATGCAAAATGTGTTCAATAACAGAATATAACAGACCATAGCTTGAAGCATATTCGTCATTTCTTCGATACTGATGCGACCATCATCCGATGTATCATACCTAAAATATAGTAATGGAAGATAGTTTTTGAATATTGAATATAAAAAAGTTTCTTGCTGATGGTTTATTTCCGTGTAGTTATCCAATATTAGTAGAAAAATGTATTCAACTCTAATATTGCCTATTTCAGTCTACGTTTTGTCACTGATTAATAAATTGATCACGTGAAGCTATTTTATTCACATAGAAAATAGATAAATGGAAAAGTACTTACATATCAAAAGCGGCATCCAAGCGATCTTCCAAGTTACCTAACAGTAACAATAACAGCAACAGATAATAAAATTCGTCTCAGATGATCTTAGTCATACCTTGACTACTAACAGCAACAGCCTAAGTATTCAAAAATCATTCATGCAATTCTTCATGAAAAATGATTATAGAATTATTTAAATTACCAGTAAAAGTTCGTTAAAGTCAATGAAACCATTACGATCTTGATCTAATGTATTGAAAACATATTTAGAAAATTTATCTGGATTTCCTTGATAAAATAATTTTTGATAAACATTAGTAAATTGTGCCTGATCTAATTGTCCCGATGGACAGTCACGAATAAAACCCTATAGTTTGACCCATTTTATTTCAAATTTATGACATTGAGAAAAGTTACTTACAGAATGCCATTCGTAGATTTCTACGTAAAAATATGAAGTAGTCTAAAGACATTTTGACAGATAAAATACTTACCTTGTTCATTGAACTTTGTATTTACTTTTAACAGAGAAATTTGTTTTACTGTTAAATCAACTGTCGATGCAGCTTTTACACTTGTAATACCCATACTACTGTTTGTTATTTTTAACAGCTGTTTTTTTATGAGAATAAGGACTATATTGACTACTTATTTCGCCACGAACACGCGAATTTATCACACGTTGTCATGCATGAGTGATTAAAACGAGAAATGTCGCATTTCAGTTAAATACCTTTTGCTGTTACATGTTTTATATCCAAAAAGGAATATAGTTAGATTCAATTCTACTAGATGTATTGCACTCTGTCTCGTGTTTGCTGTCCTATCTAAAATAGCTGTTAGCGGGTTCGATTTAAAATGAAGATAATACGGCTGCTTGATTATTTTTACGCTTTTGAAATGTCTAAATATACTGTTAATGTTAAATACAAAATTGAGCAGATAAATACGATAAAACACAATATTCGACAGATTTGGACGACAAGTTGATAGTAAAATGGAAGATATATTCAAACGTATCAATTATTACACAAAATTTCAGAGATTTTATGTAGTAATTCATGCTAGAATTTTAGTTGGAATTAGCAAGATTAATTAATATTAACTAATTAGACTATATTAAAAAGATTAATCAGTATTTGTTGTATTTAGTTTCAATACTAGTTACTGATTAACTTAGTAAAATTTAGCGAGACATGCGCACAACTATCTTCGCCTACTGAGATCTTCTTGAGTATTCAATAAATCTGATAGTTGTTAGATGGGATTTGACCACTATAAACAGATTTTTTAATACGTTATCAACATCCGATGGTTTTGGATCAGTAAATGCCAATTTTCATTAAAGCTATGCTGATGCTGTATGGTGAATTGAAGTAAAAATGATATTTTAAAGAAAAGTTACGCATATTTTTTTCCAGCTCGCTTTGGTTGATTGCCTTTATATGAGTCTTGTGAAAGAACGGGGCACGATAAGTGCCAAAATCGGTCCACGATCAAATCCGATAGAGAATTTCGCGGACTACAAAGTGATATATAAGACAGTCACAAGAAAATGTAACTGGGCAGTCTAAGGTTCGAAATACTCGGTAGCATGGCAGGAAACCGGTGTGTCAACGGCGTTCATGGTTATAATATCCACTTATTTACTTGTTAACCACTCTACTTTTTACATCGTTCGACAGAGACTTTCACGGGTTACAAAATGAGCTAGAGAGCATTATTTCAAAAGTTTGTCTTCGTAGATGTATTGGACAAATACTTGACGGATATCGCGATTTTTGTCCTATAGTAGAAAGCACGTAAAAATGGTTATAATTTCTTCTACAGGCAGAGATTTTTAGCATCGTTTGTATGTAGAAAGATGCAGAATTGAAAGGCTACAGAATAAGGTGTAACGTATTCTTTCGAATGCTAATTTTTGCAGATGCAGAGGCAAGATATCCAACACATGCAGTAATTTTGACCTATTACGGAATGATGAATGAGATACGGTGTTGTACACGAAATGGGAGCCGAAATGCTTATCATGTAGAAAGTGCAGCTTTTAAGTGCTTCAAATTGAAACGCATCAAGTGCTTTTGAAAGTGTGCTGTTAAGCATTGATATACTGAATAATATATGCCTGTCGCGATTTGTCTTTACGGGGTCTCTCAAACTATTGAGCCATCTTTTATTTTCAGTTTTTCTCCTAGAAGATATTAGCTACAATGAATCTGGGGAAAAATTTGAATAGCTCAAGGAGTTTTCAGTCTGATCTGTGACAAATAAAGATTCCATTAAAGTTTCTGAAGCTCAGGTCTCTGGAAAACCGAAACCCTAGAAAACTCAATCCACGAATTCGAGTGATGTCTTTCTTGTAACAGCCTCATCGTGTACAGAAGAGATTCGTGAGCAAATCAAGATGCTCCTGAACTCAAGATGCAGCGCAGTTTTATCAAAAAGCATTCAATTTAGGAAAGGCCCTATCTCAACAAAATCAGTAAAATTAATCGGAAAACTGTTTTATATCTTTTTTTCGATAAGTGTACTAAATTTAGGACTTAAAAGAATACGTTATACCTCATTCTGTAGCCTTTTCAATTCTGCATCTTTCTACATACAAACGATGCTAAAAATCTCTGCCTGTAGAAGAAATTATAACCATTTTTACGTGCTTTCTACTATAGGACAAAAATCGCGATATCCGTCAAGTATTTGTCCAATACATCTACGAAGACAAACTTTTGAAATAATGCTCTCTAGCTCATTTTGTAACCCGTGAAAGTCTCTGTCGAACGATGTAAAAAGTAGAGTGGTTAACAAGTAAATAAGTGGATATTATAACCATGAACGCCGTTGACACACCGGTTTCCTGCCATGCTACCGACTATTTCGAACCTTAGACTGCCCAGTTACATTTTCTTGTGACTGTCTTATATATCACTTTGTAGTCCGCGAAATTCTCTATCTAATGATATAGAAAGTAGTGTCGCTAAGGACAAATTAAATGGATGGTACAAACATGAATGAGGTTGACCTATCAGTTTGCTGAGATAGCATCGAGTGTTTCGGATCTTAGACTGGCCAGTTATGTTTTCTTACGACTGTCTTATATATCGTTTTGTAGTTCGTGAAATTATCTGTCGAACGGTGTATAATAGTTGATATTTGCTCTAGGTAAAAGAGGTGGAATAATGAAGATACTTTGACTAAATGTCATTTAATCAGGGACGAGTTTTTTTTTCTAAAATGTTTCGAAGGGCGCTGAAAATGATTTTTAAGGTGTAAAAATATGTTAGGATTAATCGCGTACGAAAACTGCATCGGATGAGTTAACATAAGACTGATTTGAGCGTGGGCCGATTTGGCTCTTAGCGTTCTCCGTCCTTTGTAAAATCATAAATGCGGAAAATGGCTTCAGGTTCACTGGCGTTATCTGATAATGCGCGTAATACATGCCCTGTCACGATAATTAGCTTTTTGAATCACTACTCTCCTCTTAACGTGGCAGAGACTTTGTCCGCTATTTTAAATCAAGTTAAAACGTGTGTAACTCATTGAATTCCTTTTTCGATTCAGTGAAAATGAAAAGTTATATGTGATTTTTTTACTTACTCTTATCTGTAAAAAAGAGATTTGTATTATCTTCTTTATTTCACTCGTAACAAGATATTTATTACCTCCATATTGTAAATTAAGAGAGAAAAAATGTTCGACACTATTATACTTTTCCTCTGATAAAGCATTGGTATCTAAAATAAACATTGTTGGAGTAATCCAGTGTCTCTACATCATTTCCTGATTGTCTTAACAAATTCACAGTTTTTCGATGCAAAAGCAGGACGAGTGAGCTTTTCTCTGATTATATTAACGGAATGGCGATTGCTAGCTCCAGATGTGCCACTAAACAGCTATTATCGCTTTCTAAAAGTGTCAACCAGGGCTATTGACAACTTCCTCCATTAGAAAGTGGCATTTCGAGGTACTGCCACCTTCTACCTTACTACTGTGTTAGAAGGTAGCGATAGCTCAAATTGACATCTTCTAAAACAGTACTATGCATCAAGGTGGCAATAGCTCTAGCTGGTACCCATCGCAGGTAGCAATAGCTTCTTGGTGATCCTTATATTAATACGATGATACTCAGCACAAAGGACAGTTTTGTCTCAAAAGATCTTCAGTCGTTCATTCTGACAATCAGAGACTGAATGACAGCCTTTCGGGCACCAAGGCTCTAAATTCTCCTATTATTTGCAAATTTGTCCTGAAGACCGTCAGATTTTTAGTTTTAGTCCAAAATGTGTACTTCTTTGGAGTGAGGATCTCATCTTCTTTTTTTGCATTGTTCGAGTCAAAGCTAAGTAAGGATGATCGGTTTTGGACGCCGTTTTCACAAACTGAACTATGATTCCTGAGGCGGTTATAGGTTTTTCCGAAACTATCATATTATTGGTTTGTGTATTTCTTTTTACATTCAGACTTCTTCATTTTACTTCCCAATCTGAGCTTATGCTTCAACATCTCAGATTGAATTCTTGCATACTGAAGTTTAAGTGTTAAATGTTGGCATAAAAACATTGCCACGTGATATAAAATGTTTCTATTTCAATTGAGATAATGTATAACAAAATACTGCAAAAAGAACTACATACATCTTCAACCAAAAGAGATGGTTCTCTGTCAGATTTAATCATACTTGATGATGATAATTCTCGTGGAATGTTATACACTAAACATAAACAACGTGAACACCGATCAACTAGAATTCATCTATTATTATATGGATCAAGAAAAACTAATCTACTATTAATAGCAATAATTGTATTTCTAATTTCAATTATTCAGATTGGTTTAGCTTGGTATAATCATAAAAGAGTATTGATTATAAAACTGATAATTGTTACAAGTGAATGTTTATTGGTTATTGTTGGTTGTATTACTGGTTTTGGCTTTGCTCTGATTTATTTTCGAAGAAAAGATTCAAAGTTAAAATTGTTGAATCGTATAATTCTAATTTTACTTATTATTAATTTATTGATAGGAACTATTTTTACTTTATTCTTATTTGATATGTTTAACAGAGATTCTCAAGTATTAAAAAATTATCCTTTGACAAAGAGTTTAACCGACAAAAAACGACAGCAACCAATAGGAAAATATTGTCCAGGTAGATCTTTACATATTGATATAATCTCTTTTGTTTGAAAAGAAAAATAGTAAATAGAGATCCAGCAAAAATTGAAGTCGTTATCTCAGAGATTATATGATATCAATTTTTAAAAAATTTCTGAAAACAGTATAAAAAACTAAAGAATCACATAAGATGAAGGAGAAAGTAAGGCTGTATCGCTGTTTGGTCACAATTAACATAAACTGCACGAGAGAAAAAGAGATTTTCTGCTTATTTAGATACTGGCGAGCTTGCAAGTGCAATTGTGTTTTAATTTCAAGAATTAAACTGACGAGGATAGAACCCTATAGTGCAAATTGTTTTTTCAATGTAACTAGGTGCACTAAAATGCCCCGTGAATTATTGTAATGAGGGCATTGTTTCGAATTCGTAACAACATTGTCGACGACGTGTTGTTATGACATGATGTCGTGTTAGATGTAAAGGACACATGGTACTCACAAAAATCAGCAGAATCTAACTTATGCAGTTTCACGTGATATCTAAGGACAGTGAAATAATTCTAAATAAGCCTCAATTTTTTGGTTTAGATTGAGTGCTCAGGTCAAACACTCATAATACGGGAGATACAAAATCATACGAATCGTACGAAAATGTATAATTTCGTATAATACGAGTTTATACGAATCTGATTAGACGATGTCCAGCTAATTTGTATAAAATCGTATGGTAAGATTCGTATAAGATGATATCATCTGAATCGTACGGCACGGTTTCATACGATTTGGTGTAAATCATACTGGCCAACAGACTAGTTCATTTTTTATTCTAAAGACTTTGATGTTTAAAAACCTCAGATTCAAGTTCAGATCATGTTTAAATGTTTGAGTATTAACTTGGCCAAAAAAACGCGCTTAAACTACAGATGTAGATGTGCTTAGGGCTATCCAAAAGTAGTGAGGGAGGTACTCTTTTTTCTTATAGAAAGCTTGAAAAAAATTTTCTTTTTTGTGAACAGATAGAGCGTCTTTCGCTCTATTTTTCTATGCTATTTGATCAGTATTCAACTAATATCATAATAATAAAATTTCGATACGATCTGTTCCTTCGCATATGTGCTGGTAGCATGAATGCTCGTAAATACTTTTTGAATAACATTTGATAGCAACAACATAGAGAACTGCGGTTTTCATCATTGGAAAGAAGAGATGAAGACGCATCGAACTTTTTCTAATATGATTTCTGAAGTGTTTTTATTCATTTATTTTCTAACCGTCGGAAAAATGCTTTTTTATGGAAAAAAGAAAAAACAGAAAAGTTGATCGAAAATCGTAGTAGAGGTTCGTCTGAAATACGTACTATCCCCAAATAATTAAATTTACACCTGAGTCTTTCGCAGTGTGTAGATCATCGATTAGCGGTTTGAATGTGAACTTGTGAACCTGATTATTGGAAATTCACTGTAAACAACTCACGGGACAGGTTTGTTCTTTAAAAGGTCAACTAAAAACCATACAAAAAAAGATTAGAAAAATCAGTAATATATGGTTCGATGCGTCTTCATCTCCTCTTTCCGATGATGAAAATCGCAGTTCTCTATCTTGTTGCTATCAAACATTATCCAAAAAATACTCACGAGCATTCGAGTTCATGCTGCCAGCACACATATGCGAAAGAAATAGATCTTATCGAAATTTTATTATTATGATATTAGTTGAATACTGATCAAATAGCATAGAAAAATAGAGCGAAAGACGCTCTATCTGTTCATAAAAAAGAAAAATTTTTTCAAGCTTTCTATAAGAAAAAAGAGTACCTCCCTCACTTCTTTCAGACAGCCCTAAGTAGTACCATCCTTACTTCTGAGTGGATGCATCTATGTGAGATCTAACTCCCACTCTGTTGTTTATTTGAAGCAAGTGAATGACTATATAGTGGACAAGTTGAGCAAGAGTTTTGCAAGAACAGAAAGAGTTAGGAAAACCACATGATGACATAAGAGTTGTGCAAGAATGGCATAGGAGTAGAATCTTATGAGCTGCCAGGGACGGCAGGTCATAACATCTACACATGAGCAATAGTATTTATGATAAAGTTTTAAAGTCGATTGGATCAAGTTATCAAGGGCTCATAATCTAACTGTACTGAAGGCACTGTTGAAAAAACACAGTTTGTACATTGTTTTCCTCATGGCAGCGCCTATATCTCCGCGAAAAATCATCGAAAACTTTGGAGAGCGACTTGTTGTGTAGAGAACACGCGTTGCCCGATGTGCTTAGTAACACTAGTTATATTTGACTTCAACATACTTTTCTTTTCTAAAACTAAAATAAATAGATAACTTACGAGTCGTCGGTTGAAAGCAATGTAACTTGATAGAATGACTGTGCACACTGTGATATTCAGAGTTAATGTAAAACTAAGGCAGAATACTACGTTTTCTTTCTTTCTTAACACCTCCTTCTTTCTTTTCGAAAAGCATGTTGACAAATAATGCTGATGAAAACATGGAATAATACACAAAACAGAAGATAAGGGAGACTTTGATCTCTTTTTACATTACACACGAGTGAAGGATCCCAATTTGCAAATTATTTTTTCAATGAAACTAGGTGGGCTATATGTAATTGATGACGCTGATTTCGAATGTGAACATCGGAATTACCTGTAAGCTTTTGTTGATCGGTTTTCTGATAATTAGATCTTCAGAAAATTACGAATACTCCTCTAGGCCAGATAGTCACCCAACCGCAACATATTCGTTTGGTTTCACGTTAACAAAACCCGAAGGGTGTTCTTCATAGTCGTGGACTTAAAAAAGTTTTTGCTACTGGCGGCGGCTAGTTCTACCATCCTCCCTAAATTCGGCATTGATTCTTCATAATATTCCAGACGTATTTTTTTAGACGACGATTCGTCTTCGAGAGCGTGAGAAGCGCACAAAAGTTAACTATCCCCATTCGTCCGTTGTTCTCTAAGTATACTATAAACTAAGCATCTGATTGTACAACTTCAATTATTGTGAAAAATATAAGAAAGAACAGTGAACTTGATTTTTGTAATTCGTCTTCAAAGATCAAGTTCGTGTGTTCGGTCCTAGCTTCACACAACGACTGATTTTGTGTTTTGATAGTATAAGTTTCAGAATGATATAATGGGAATTTATATTCTCCATTTTGTTCTGGTTCAAAATTAAAGCTTTCTGATTCTGTTTTAGATTTACCGAAAACGATTCATGGTAGAATATATGGCGGTCTCGGAGGAGGACCATTTGATGATTCAATCAATATACGCAATTTAGATAACTTTTCCACCTACTATCCATCTCAACTGAGTTTCAGTTGGTGTGATTGGTTAGAATCAATGAATATGACTTATATTCTTATTTCTAACACGACTAAAACTGTCCATACATGGAAAGCCAATCGATATGGTGGAGATCCCAACTGTGTTTCCAAAACGTTTTCATTGGATAGAGATGAACGAATTCAAAAAGTTTCTCTTACATTTGGTGAACATTGGTCAACTGCAGTTCCAAGACATCATTATATTATACTTGGTATTCAATTTCATACAAATAAAAATCGAATGAGTCCATATTATGGTAGTCAATTTAGAGGAGTAACAGTCGAGGAAACCTATGATGGTTATGTGTTAAACTATATAAGTGGTACAGCTGGCAAGTTTATTGATCAACTTCAATTACATTGGGTTCTGGAAGATAAACAAGTTCAAACTTGTCCAATTTTACCCAAAACTATCCACTTAAATGATCGACATTTTGGTATGTGAGCAGGAGATCACGCTTCAAGTGATTATATGTAGACTAGGGTAGAAGGAGAGATATAAAGAAATGAGCTGAATCTGGACACGAAGAAATGGCTTAGGTTAACATTTGGTTAACCATGGGAGTGGCTCTTAGGCCTTCTAAGATCCGGTGTCTAGAAAACCAGTTTTTCAGTAACTCTAAAAAATAGCTAAAACCTTTCTTAACAAGACATAATTATAGCGCACAACGTTGTGATCAAAATGCGACATCCAGCTGTACACTACCTTCCTTTGCAAAGTTATAGAATTTAATAGAAAAGCGCTGAATGTTCATTGTCAGAAAGCTACAAGCATAAGGAAAAAATGAATTTAGGGCTTTTCTTGTAAATTCTATAACTTTGCAAAGAAAGCTCGTGTAGACCTGGGGAATGTCTCATTCTAATCAGAAATTTGCGGGCTACAATCGTGCCTCATTAAGAAAGGTTCCGGTTACATTTTAGAATTTCTGAAAAACTTGTTTTCCGCAAAACCGGATATTTGAAAGGCTAAGGACCGCCGCCATGGTCATATTCGGAATCAGCATGGTCGATGGCCTACAACCCACTAGATTCCGAATAAAAAGCATTTTATCACTTAGAGAGGTTCCCTCGTGAGTAGAAGAAGAACGTTTTTAAGGGTGCAATTAAAGTAATCAGATATACACAACTTATTTTGCCTAGTTTTTGTATCTTTTTAGCAAATACTGACTGTTACAGCGCGTCATTTGGAGGAGATTATGAAGGTACACGCAATTATACAGTTACAAATAGTCCATGTAAACCATGGACACAAACTGTTTCACCAAATAATTACTGCAGGTTAGTATCCGGAAAACTGTATCAGATTCAACCAGACTCTTAGGAAACAGAGACATGTTAGCACTCAGCAGGCTGGACTAGCAGTAAAATATAACAAAATTTTCTTGAGTCCAAAATATGCCATAATTATATATGTTGAAGAATGGTATATAGTAAGAACTATTCTATTGATTTCGCTTACTACCTCGTAAGAGCATATGAGGCATGCTCATGGCATTTCGAGAAAAAATAATGAAAAACTTGAAAACTTCACGTAAACGTTAAGGTTATTCATTAAACACGGTTTCAATTGTGTTTGCTCAAAATGTTTTTGTGAAATATCGTATTTTAAAAAGTTTTACGCTAACTCCATGGAAAAAATAGAGGAAAAGTTCGGCAAAGGATCTTAAAAGAGCAAATTGTCCATCTTAAATTGACCAAAGTTTCTACTGTTTTGCTCTCTTATGCATAGAGAATCTCGTTTCTCAATTAGCTGAAACAACGCAGACGTTTTATAAGTCTCATAATATATCCAAATATTATCTAGCAACAAAACTTTGAATCATTCTGAAAAATTCGCTCCCTATTTATTTTCGTTTGATAATAGTGGCGACATTTAAAATTATCCTTACTGATCAAAACAAGTCCGATAAAATATCGGCGTTATTCGACAATTAATGCTCAGAAAACATCGGCTATTAACCATACTACATTCAATATGAGTAGACACTCGACACTAGGGATGACACTTTACTAGTCACTCGGCGTTACTTTACCAGTTAAAGTAACGAACTTAGTTACTTAGCAAATAGTAACTATGTTAGTTACTCGTTACTGGTAACGAAGTAACTATATTAGTTATGCGTTACCAGTAACGAGTAACTAACATATAAAATACGCTGATTATCAATAATCAGTTAAGAATAGAAGAAAAGAATAGAGTTAATTTTATTTGCTCAACATACGACTGAATATTTTTTCGTTTAGGTGCGTAAATATCTTTAAAAGTTAGGAGCAGAACGCGATAAGAGGATATGGAAGACTACTCCTTCTCTTCACTTCTTGCAATACTCTCATGAAGTACTAAAATAATTTTTTAGCGAAACAGCTTTTGTCGATGGTTTCCACACTCTTAAAAAAAATTTTAAGTCAAAAGCGCCTAAATGTTATGAGAAATATTTTCGTTTTGCGTTATAACTAGTAAATTTTAGAGCTTTAGTCATACTAGGGAAAGGTGACTTTTTCAATCAAGATTTGTATAATAAAACGACAGAGAATATCGAAAAGAAGTTGAACATGCCTTTTTCCTTAAAAAACATTTTTGTTACTTCGTTACCTTCAGGAGAGTAACGAAGTAACTAGACTAATTACTCGTTACTGGTAACGCAGTAACTGAATTAGTTAGTTACTAGTTACTAGTAACGAGTAACTACTCTCGTTACTAGTTACTAGTACTAGGCATCCCTAATTCGATACTCTCGAAAAATCCCGGCACCTCTTAAGAGACGCTAAGAGAAGGTAAATCATAGGTGACTTCGTCGCCGGTATGGAAGTGATATCGACTGATAGGATCTATGAGTAAACTATATACTGTTTACTTTTCGTTTTTTCGGTTGATATTCAAGAAGAAAGCTATAAGAATCCATTAGGAAATGTTAAACCGTACGAATCGTAATGTATTAAGTAAGAAATGTTTTTGTTGTTGAAAGAGCGTGTCTTTCGTCTTGCATCTCAAATTGTTTTTGAGTCAAAACTTGAAATTTTTCTGATAAACACGTCTTTCACTTCCAGACTACATTTTATCATTTACTAAAGTCAAATATGGGTTAGAATTAAAGTTGAATTTCTTTACCTTTGATTTCGATCCAAAATCGATTGAGGATAGCTAAAGCGATTTTTTTCAACTGGGAAAAAAGGTGCAGTTTTTCATACCATACAAGATTATGATATTTTTTACTTTTGCTAAAGTTTTTATTTTAATATAGGACGTTTACTCACGCTTATTATCTTATCAAATTTATGTCTCTCTTAAAGAAACGTTGAAAATGCTGTATTGAAATTTCTAAAAATTTACGATAATAATTTTCAGAATTATATGGATGATAAAAAACTCAAACTAAAGTAAAAAGAAACAGTCCGATAATAGAAATACAAGATATTCTTGGTTACTGGTACTGTGCGTTTAAAATACACATACTAACTAAAATAATGTGGATAACATGTTGAATAGGGCGGTGGCGGATGTGGTTATAAGTAGCTTCGGTTATTGATTTATAACCATAACCGGTTCATGTCTTAACTGAGAGAATAAAGAGCTATCAAACATTACATCTTGTGTAGTTTTTTTCTTTTTTTTTTGAATGAGACATTATAAGCAATAAAATGGTTTCATCGACTTTTTCAAAAAAAAATGACTAAAGTCGACTTTAAATATAAAATTCTTCTAGTTGAACACTCTATTATTTAGTGCTCGCTCCGCGCTGAATCAAATTATATAAAAATTCGTGACACGACATTTTCGCGAAGACTTGTTTGTTGGAAAAGAAGAATAAATGAGAGTGATTTTGTATTTTGTATATCATGTTTTAAAACCTGAGTGAAGTTACGTGGTTAATAGTCATTATCTGATACAGTCACAGTCACAGATATCTAGTTTCATTGCCTATCGTATTTGACCGATTTTCTCTTCGGTACACGATAAACCGGTTTTTATAGCAATGCAGAATCCGTGATACGAATCGTTCTGCGAACGATACTACTGCGAACAGGGCTCCGACTCTTCCACGAATTTTTTCATAATACATATTCGGACATTTTTGGCAGTGTATTGCGGGAGATGGAGATGTGGGCAGTATGAGAGTGAGTTTCAAAAAATAGTTTCACAGAAAACATATTTTCATGTTGCGAAACTAAATATCTCTGACTGTATCACATAATGACTGTTAACACAGTCATAGCTTCACTCAGGTTTGAAAACATGATATGCAAAATACAAAACCAGGCTCATTTATTCTTCTCTTCCAAAAAACAAGTCTTCGCTGAAATATCGATGTATCTAAAAATTTGGCGCTAGGTGCAAAATTTTCTCAGTGAATCCAACAGCGGGTTCCTTTTAATTTCATTATGACTTTTTCTGTTGTGTCTATATAATCGACATGATTTTTCCTCAAATTTTAGGTTTTTCATTGGCTGAAAGAGTCCAAGTAGGTTAGCTTGCATATGACATAGACATTTTGATATGCACATATCATGCACAGTCCTAGAAACCAGCTAATTATCATCTGACAAGAATGATGACAATACAGATACATCTTGTTTTCGCTTTTTTTTCACGTTTTTTACGAAACACTGGTGCACAAAAAGACCGAGACAACTCCTAATAGTCTCGTTTTCGTTTCCAACAGATCAAGAACGAAGAAAAATTGAAGTACCAAAATGTCAATTTGTCTATGTGATATCTGAACTAATGAGAAAAATAAAATTTGGGCAAACACCACGTCGATTATGTGAACACGAAAGAAAAAGTCAAAATAAAAGTAAAAGGAACCCACTGTCGGACACCGAGAGATTTTGCACCTTGCATCAAATTTTTATCTAATTCGATTTCTTTTCGAAACTTTCTATCATAATGGTTTAAACTTCATCTAGACGCGACTTATTCGAAGTGAGAAAAAGTTTTCATCATCTAAAAACAACCAGGCGTGTCTTTCAGCTTCTTTTTCGTCTTTATTCTATTTTTTATTGACATATGTATACTCTTCTGTAGAAATCCTGAAAATGCTGCACCGTATGGTCCATGGTGCTATGTAACAAATACTGAATGGGAATATTGTGGTATTCCATTGTGCCGTATCGGTAAGTTTATTTACATTTTTCATTTTTTATTCTTTGTATTAATCTTTTACCTTTTTTTTTTATAGAGGATCGACTAAGGGCAGCTTATAGCAATAATAACGATTACGGCGATTAAATAACCGATGATTTGATATTGCCAAGAGTTGAACAAAGCTGAATATTAAAAGACAGCACAGTCTGAGAAAATCTGCTAAATTATTTGTATTTATTGCGCTATCGTAATCGTATTCTAACTGCATGGACAAAATACTTTGATAGACAGACTAGGCATGCCTTGGTTACAGTTATTAACTGCTCAACCGGTTATACACATTTGCGACTGTGGTCAATCGTAATCGGTTACAAGTATTGGTGGGCTATGAAACTGTAAGTGTCTTAGACGGTCGGCATGGCCAGATAACTCTATTATCGGAGTGAAATTCCGTGATGAAAGTTTGATATTTTCCTCTGTAGATATTTTTTTAACAAAAGTATGTGCAGTGTTGTGGAACATCTAGAATTGTAAAGCAAACGTTTCTCTGCAAAATGAAGCGTCTCGAGCAAGAGGGAAAAAGCGAGGATCGCCCCCTCTTTTAATCCCTTATGCTCCCTATCTCGAAAAAAAATATTTGAACTTCTATGAAAAAGAAAGACGAAGAAAACCGAGATTTTTATTTCCTCGACTGAAATACCGATTCTAAGTCCTAACATGTCTGTGTTTGTGTTCGCAGTACAGAAAAAACCTTATTATTCATCCCGGAAAACATATACAGCCATGAAAATTTCATAGTAGAGGTAATCGACTATAGAGAACCGAAAAAGGATTGTGAGGAACCACGAGGATTGATTCTGTTGCTCGAAAATTTTATATTTGCTTGATTGGATGAAAATGCTATGGAATAGGTAATCGACTATGGGGAATCGGGAAATAAAGGTCGGCCTTCGTGTGCGGATACAGCTAAAATGTTCCAGTTATGAATCCTTTGAAGAAGTTTGTTAACATATTCACCTCTGGGATGCTCTCCGCCATCTAGTCCTAGATTCTCCACTTGGCTACTGCGAGTGCTAGTTTACAGTCACGGTAAGCACCCTAATAATAAATCCAATAACTGACTAAAAGCGTATACGACTGCCCACACCGAAACCGGGTGCCAACCTCAATTTTACCAAAAAAATTCAAAAATCAAGAGAAAACTTCTACGACCTGAAATAATCCACTTTCCCTATTTTCGTATAAAGCCCAAAAGTTCCTGATTCAGTCGAAATCGGTCTAAACTACCACATAACATCAGCAGGTACTGTATATTATCTCCTAAATACTGTTTCTGACTTAACTACACTGAAAACTTGCTGTTACATTTTTTCTCATATAAGCCTTACTTTCAGTCAAGAGAATAATTGTTCTTCATAACTACTATCCGTTCCAAATGGTCAGACCGCTGGTTGCTTTTTGAATAACTTTTGATAGGAATGAGATAGAGACCTGCGATTTTCGCTGTTCAATAGCCAAGACTTGAGCAGAACTTTTCACAAGCGGAAGCAACTTTTGAAAAAATTCCAGAGATCGGATTTTCAGAGGATCTTTGGAAAATCAGCTCCGTTCTCAGAAAACTAACATACAATGTTAGTAATCCTTTTGCATGCGTAGATAGCTCGGACGTTACTCTACAAAATTATGCAAGTCCCGGCTCTCTAGCTATCGTCGTTCGGGCAGG